TCAAAAAGTGGCTAACTAGTAAAATGTTGCTGATATCCTGATAAACATTTTACTAGTTAACCACTTTTTGATATCTTTCAAAAGAAGTGAGATATATAGGCTCAAAGTGGACGATCCAAGTGTCGTTCTATTAGAGGTTTTACGGTATGCATTTTAAAGCGAGTTATGCTTATTTTAGTTTGATTGCCTAGAAATCCACAACTAGGCCACATTGTTCCAAATTTGAATGCTCATATCTTGGCTCAAAATGTAAATTTTTGAAATCTGAAAACTGGTTTCAAATTTTCAAAGCCTGTTCTTCAACATTGTGTACAGAGATCCGAAGGGGACTCTCCGAAATCCATTCATTGAGAGGATTTTTGGAAAATACCCGAGAAAATTTAGACGTCTATTCAGTAAGTCGTCCTATGTAGCGAATGAGCGGTTAGATTCATTCTCGTTGGAGGTAAGCTGACCATCTGCTGTATTATGACGTGGTTGGCCATACAGTTCACTAATCTCTCTCATATTCCCATGATGAGAACCTGGTCTGTGGCGATGTTTTGACCCTTACCAGCCGCAATCCCAGAGGATTATCTCGCCGTGTAAAAGACATAGGAGTGGTGCGGAAGACTGAGGTCATCTTTATGAGCGTATGAACACATTTAGACACCTGTACAGCCCCACACACATGCACACATACGAAACAACGCAGCATGGTGTCAAAGAGAGTGTCAAGAGTGCATGCGATACACGAAAGGGCATTGATCGCTTCTTTGACTACACACACCACCACTCACTTTTTTGATGACGACTTGACTGAATAGACGTCTTGACTTTCTCGAAAGCTTTCCAAAAATCCTGTAAATGATTGGATTTTGGAGAATTCTCGCTGATTTTACTGAATATTTTTCTTTTTATCTGGTTTCCCAAGAAAGCATATTACTGAATGAATTTGTCGTGTGTTTTCCCGAAAGTCGAATTCGAATATAAAAAGTGAGTTAAAAATGTTTAACCAGAACAGAGAGTTTAGGGGGGGGGGGTGTATTAACATAGTTTGATCTTTTGATCTCTCGGGCCACTCCCTATGGGGGTCAGTATTAACATAGTTTGATCTTTATGGGTGGTCTATGACGCCATCATTTTTTCTTCTTTTTGAGTGGACATGCGGATTTATGGAAATCAGGACAGACAGCTAGGAATTTTGAATTTTTGGTGAGAA